GATTATATTTTTGTTTTTGTTTTTTTATGGCTAAATCTCGTGGTGGTAGTGCCGGTGATGGTGGTGATGCAGCTGATCGTGTTTATAATCAAATTTTAACTGAAATGGATGGTATGCGTGCAAAAAACAAAGTTTTTATTATTGGTGCTACCACCAGAAAAATAATTATGCATAAAGCTATTCTTCAATTAGGTAAGAAAATGAAAAAATTATTTATTTTATTTAGAAAATTACGTTTTTTTTTGTTTTTATTTAGATCGTCTGGATCATCTTATTTACATTCCATTACCAGATGCCCAGGTCCAATAAAACGGCGTCGTAAACGGCCTGAAACGGCTATAAAACGGCGATTAGCGATGTAAAACGTCGATAAACGGCACCGTAATCCGTCATACCAGACTACGAAAGCAAAACCGGAAAAAAACGACCGCCGTTTTCTAGCGATAGACGGTGGTCGTAATACGGTATGACGGATTACGGCGAAATACGGCCAAAATTACTGCAGTAATTCGCCGTTTTATAGTCGTTTCAGGCCGAATACGACGCCGTTTCCGACGGCCGGAATGATCCGCCTGGGTGATAAAGCACGTACAGCTATACTTCAATCTACAGTAAAAGAATTACCAGCAGGTGCTGATTTAAATGTGTTATGCAATCAAACAAAAAATTTAACTGGTCAACTTCTGACAACAATTGGTCAACAAGCTCATAAATCAGCTGTACAAGAAACAATTAAAGAAAAAAAGAAAAAAAGCACAAACAATGGATATTGATGAAACACCTACTCTACCTCAAATTCGTCTTCATCATATTGAACAAGCAATAAATTATGCATAACGTTTACAATTTGAACGTGATGAACCTCGATAGGTTTTTTTTTTATTTTTTATTTTTAAATAAATATCTAAAGACTTATTGAAGTCTAAATTGAAAATATCTCACTAGAAATCCAATTATTGAAATTGTTATGAACTTTAGATCGAATGCAATCAGAAATTAATGTTCATTTATTTTTTAATTTGAGTTAGATTGAAAAAGTAAGGACTATTTTTACATTTAAAATGAAATCAAATCTTTTTGTTTGTCTTCAAACAATTGCGGAAGGAGCATTTTCATTTTACCTATAACTCTCCAGCATCACAAAATGTTGTGTCATTTTTTTTTATAAAATGAGAAAAGATCATTCATAGTTGATATTTCTTTATATTTGAGCAATAACATTAGCCTATAAATACAATATTTATCATGTTTTTCAATTTATTGAATAAATCAAAACGAGAATACATCTACTAATACAATGAAGGAAAATAAAGAAAAACATCTTCCGAATAAAACAATGATCCTAGCGTATCTATTCGTTCCACCTTAGCACAATTGCGTCGTGTTTCTTCTCTTGTAAAACGTTTTGTTACAGCTTTTGAATCATCAACATCGACTTCAAATTCCGTCAGACAAGGTGTGAATGCCTTTGTTTCATTTAGAAATTGTTCTACATAATCTCTATGTGCATATCTCACATCGAGTCTAGTCAGATGAAGGTATTCAATAATTGAGTGTAATTGACAATTGTCAGATGAAAATGTCATAACACCATCTAATACTTGTGATTCTATATTAAAAATACGTAAATATTTTA